AGCCAAGGACCAGCTAAGGACCAGCCAAGGACCAGCTAAGGACCAGCCAAGGACCTGCCAAGGACCAGCCAAGGAATAGCCAAGGACCTGCCATAAAAATAGCCAAGGACCAGCCAAGGAATAGCCAAGGACCTGCCAAGGAATAGCCAAGGACCTGCCAAGGAACAGCCAAGGAATAGCCAGGGACCAGCCAAGGAATAGCCAAGGAACTGCCAAGGAACAGCCAAGGAATAGCCAAGGACCAGCCAAGGACCTGCCAAGGAACAGCCAAGGACCTGCCAAGGACCAGCCAAGGACCTGCCAAGGAATACCCAAGGTCAAGCAGAGGACCAGCTAAAGAAAGTGGGGAAATCTTGAATGGCTACTACTCTAAGTAATGCTCCTGGCCCACATTCAATTGTTTGATCTTGCTAAAAGTTTGCATGTTGACAGAATTAGAATCCCTTTGAAAGCCATCAGACTCTATGAACCAATAAAACAACAAAGTCGGACTAAATCAGCTAAAGCGTATTTGTTCATGTTTCAGTCCGGAGATGGATGTCCAAATCTGACCAAGTCAGTCGTGTCTAAAGGACCTGTAAATGTGACATTGTTTAAAACACTCAGTCTGTGAATTTAATACTTCATTGTTATTATTATTTATTCCGTTAAATAACTTTCCAGCACTAAAGAAGAGGCAAACAGCAGGGAAATGACTGAAAGGGTGCAAACAGAAGCACAATGCTGTCTTACACATCCAATGGAAGATAGAGAGAAGAATATTTCATGTTTTCTAAAATATTCCTCCTGTGAGAAAATGTTGAAAAATCTTTAAGGTGGAATGTAAACACCTGCCAAAGTTAAACTTCTTCTAGAGTTGAAGCCTTTCATTTTAAAATATTCTGTCATGTTTACAGTCACTTTGCTATTTTAACTGGATGACTGGAATCATGAACTTTTTCAGGTTTAATAGTTTATTGTTTCTTTTATTATTAGCATGGACACATTTAAAACAATTTTACATCATAAGGCTCTATTATGACACTTCTCTCAGATCATAGAGCATGTTTTATGATCAGAGATAACCTGAGCAACACAAAATGCTGCTTTTTAAATTAGTGACGTCATTATTTAAGGGAAACTACATGAAATTGAGGCGCTGAGTCGTCAGTGTGAGCCTCACTGCAGCGTCTCCAAAGTTTTCAGGTCCAGACTTTGGGTTAGGCCACTCCAGAACCCTGATTTGTTTCTTTTATGGCCGTTCAGAGGTGGATCCACTGATGGTTTTCATTCCCCACTGTCCGCCTTTCCTAGATTAGCAGACCATTCGTGGAAAGCTTCACCACTGCTCTGTTTGCTCTTGTAGATGATGGCTGGAAACCCAAAGCCATAAATGAGTGAGCTTATTTATTTGTCAACATGAGGGGGTGAGGTTGCTTAAGGACCCAAAAGCAGAGATGAATTCTTGTAGGTTAAATGAAAAACTGAGGCAAAAATCCAAAAACACCAAAAATACTAAGAACTAATGAAATTAGGAGATGAGCCGAGGCTTCGATGTGTGTGCTGCGTAGTGGAGGGGGTGTAGCCACATGTATCGAGGCTTGCTTCATTTGGAGGAGGAGCCAAAATAGATGAAGTCTAAAGCCTCACTAACCCACGTACCAGGTGACCGCCTCTGGAAGTGGTTCAGACCATGCGAGAACTTCGACAGGCATTTAAACAACCTCAGTATTCAGTCAAGATGTGGGAGTTTGTAGGAGAGTTGCTGTTAATTGGATAGATTCTAAGAATAGATTGGTTGGAAAAACAACCAATCTAGTTGGTTAAAACAATTTTTGTTAGATTAAACAATGTTATGATTAAAGTCGTAGGGAAGCGGTTGTTCCAACCGTTGCACTTCTGAATTCTCCCGAGTGGTGCCCAACTTTACACGAGTGAATAAAGTGAATGTGATTGGCCGTTTATCAAGGGGGCGGGATTGTTGTAGCGGAAGGTTCGCAACCAGTTTGGTTGTGGCCGGTTTGTCGGAAGCATCTTTCTAACCAGTTAGCAACTTAGCGCTAGCAGGTTCCCAGTGGGAAATTCCATTGCGACCATTAGCACTAAATTGGTGACTTAGAAACGACGCTGTCAAGGAACGCTATGGACAGCGGAAACATGCAAGAGGAGGAGAGTTTAGTGTCGGAGGTCGTGGATGAGTCTCCTCCGTCATCCATTTTTTATTTAGAGGAGGAAAGCGGGGACGAAGATGTTGTGGAAGAGGACGCCAGGGCGGCAGAAGCTTGGTTTGGTGTAGAAGGCTTCCAGCCGTCCATGTTTGAGCCCTTGCCTCGCAACGCTGCCAGTTCTGTTAGCTCTACGCCTGCCGAAGACACAGACGTCCATCCCCGTGAACACTGGGACGCAACTCAATGGGAAAGGAAAGGATTCTGATTTCTGATTTCAACCGTTGCGTATATTAGCTGCGACTTATGAATCAAGATACTATGACCGAAAAAATGTGATTGACAGATAACCGTTGATATATGATTGGCCGAATTTAGGTGTTCAGGCTGACGTAGAACTAACTGGCCTGCAGAAGATAACAGTAAAAAAAACAGATTTTAAGACGGGATTATCTTTTA